CTTTTGTAAGAAAGAAACCACCCAAGCATATCCTTCAACCGCAGATAAGTCATGCAACCAGTTAGAGTAAAAAAACTCCCAACGAAAACGCTGCATATTGTCTCTCTCCCTACTCACTACCACCACCGCTTCTCGCCATTACCAGCCCAATTGGGACCACCACGACTACCAGTTGAAGATTTCACTACCATCATTTGTCGCTGTATATATATTTGATCGAAGATATTTCACGACCCCGGTTCACGACGTTTCTATGAGTGCAGAAGCCCAGCATTTCATCTTTCTGTCTCTCTGACATCTACGCTCTATACGTATGCATGAAAGGATTACTTCAGGGGTGCTGCGCGACTGGTCTATGAACGGGTTGTTTTCTGTCTCAATTTTTTAGTGATCTGCGTTTCAAAGGTTCGACGTCAAGCCTAACATGTCATTTTTCAGTCTCTCTGACATCTACGCTCTATACGTATACAGGTGATTGGTTTCGTTAATTGTCCAATAAAACGAAAGGCTACTATATGGATGAAAAATGATTCTTTGTGTCATTGTCTTGATCCATTAAGCGAGTGAAAATTTCATATTTCAACTTTCAAGGCGTTTTCTATTTAGTGGAAATTAGAAAATTTCATGAAAGGAGTGCTTCAGAGGTACTGCGCCACTGGTCTATGAACGGATTGTTTTCTTTTTCAATTTTTCAGTGACCTGTCTTTACAAGAGGTTCGATATCTAGAAAAACCGATTACTTTTGCCTTTTTTCTAGAAACTATCGATGGCGGATGTAAAAAATTTTATCTGTTTGTGCCCGTTTCGTAATCAAATCAGTGTTAAAGGTTTAGAAAACCTAAAATGCTGTCATGCTGATAAACCGGTGAAATTATACTGGCATCTCTATGATACTAAAGTTCATGGTCAACAACTGTCATCGAAAGCAGCCACTATAATTATTGAGAAAATGATGAAAAATGAATATGATGAACTTGAAAATTCGTGTTTATCGATTGATCAGCTATTTCGTACATTCAAAAATAGAAATGTTGACAGTGGTCCTGCTGTAAAAAGTGAACCACAAATGATTATCGTCGAAGATACACGTTCAAAAGAAAATTTTGTTAACACGATAACAACCTCATCGAACCTAAAACGTTCACTAAGCACCTCGACGTTGAATGAAAATGAAAATGGTCAAAATAATAAATTGTTGAAGACGATGATCGAAGCAACTGTTCAAGAGCAGCTCAAAAAATTGTTTGCAAGTGTCGTTGGCGTTCAAGGTACAACAGCTAGTAATATTGGTAAGAATACTGATAACAAAGATTAATCAAGTCATCGTCAGCGTGGATATTTTCTAATTTAGCTGTAGAACTACAGGAATCGTCGGCGGATATTTTGACCGGCTTAAATAATTCTATTTTACCTACTCTTCCAACGATGCCAGTGCTACAAATCCCATTGACACCGGTACTACAAACTCCATTGATGCCGATAAATAATAATAATAATAAAGTTAAATTTGATGTGAATTTGGATGATTTATGGGTAGATGAAGAATTGGATGACGCGAAGGAAGATAATGATTATGATATACCAGCAAGATATCAAAAGAAAACTCGTCGAACTGTAAGCAGTTAGCTTTATTTTTGACTTTTAAGCTGAATTTATGTAGCTTCAGTATTCTATGCTGATTGGTAATAGATGAAAAGTAGAGAAAAAAAGAGTGACACTTCTCAATCAGTCATAGAGAAAAACATTATTGGTTTCCGTGTTGAGCTTTCTGTTGGCGTGTTTTCACTTATTTTGTCAGCCTTAACGTATTCTTTCGATG